CCCCAAAACCCCAAAACCCCAAAACCCCAAAACCCCTTTTACTTTACCATTTTTGAATTTCATGAAATAAGCCTTAGTAGATTCTATATTCGATAAGCAGTCTTTTGCCGACGTTTCAAGACACAGGATCGATGGGGTATTCTCAGTGGTTGAGCGAGAGTCCTCAGTCCAAGTGGGATCACAGAAAGTCAGAGGCTTTTCACTTTAGTTTGATGTTTTCGATTGGCACAGTTTCATCGACTAAGGGTTCTGACAGTAGAAACTCAAATTCTATTGTTATGTACAAACCTTACCGAGCAAAGATTTGGTGTCAGGCTCAGACTCTTTAATATTGAAGGTGATGCATTCGCTATTCTGCACGCCGTGAGGATTTGAATGCCTGAGAGTTAGCTTCTCCTTTTCCTTGAGGAACACATGTATTTCAATATCAAAGATCTTCTTTGGCAGCTTCGGATTGGCATGTCAAAATATTTTAACTTTGAGCAATCCATCTATCATTGCTGTCCTGTATTGGACAGATAATGGGATCAGAGACAAGTTCTACAATTAGAGAACGAACTTACTTTGGGATTGAGTTGATATTCATACAAAAGGACATTCGATTTAAACTGGTTCACTTCATAACTTGAAACTCATTCGTCTAGAGATAGTTGCAAATGGACATTACTTTTAGCATTCTCAACCATTTTGACATTTGGGTTAGCATTCTTGAGAAGAACCTGTGGATTACTCCAAACTCCTGCCACTCTGGTGAAATCAGCATGTAGCTGGACTCCTTCTCCATCGCTTGGGTCAATTACTCCCCCGAGCTCCACTCCCATATGGCCCATGCACTTTCCTTCTGAGAGGACGTTGTTTTTGAGGACAATCAGAACCTTCTCAAGGTATGTGAGGGAAAGCTTGAAGGAAAGTAACTCCATTGCTTCTCTCTTGTCCATGATCTTACTGTCTAAATCGTCACTGCTGGGCTTTGCAGGGTCAGAGGCAGTAAAGCCTCCGAAGATGCTGTCGATCTGTGAGTCACTAGGAGCCACTTTCTTTTCGTCTACAGTTGCAGCTGAGCTTTCTTTGAAGTTATTAACAACCGAACCTTTTGGATTACTTTCTGGCTTCTGGTTCGCCTAAATATCAGAGGAGTCTCTTACTTGAGTTTGCTCAGAAGAGACATTGTACAGACTGAGGATGCTGTCCAGAGGGTTGTTTGACGTCGAAGCTGTCTTTTTGGTTTGAGCTGGGACTACTTTCTCAGGAGTATTCTTGTTAAAGTCAATGTTCAATAAATCATCTAATCCGAGGTCATCATTTTGAGATTGAGTATTATCCTGAGAAGTTTCTTTTAGTTGAGGCTCTTCTTTGACATCTCCCAACAAATCGAATATATCATTGTCTTCTTGCTTTGGTTGACTATGCGCTCTATCTAGATCTTCACAGTAAGTAAAGTCTTACTCGGAGAAGGAGGAGCAAGGTGGGTGTTACTATGCTGATTGCTTTCTGGAGCCTTCAACACTTGTTTATTTTTCTTACTAAATACTCCAAAAATGCTTTTCCTCGATTTTGGAGCCATTGGCTCTACTGGTGCTGGCTGATTCACAATTTCAGTATTTGTGTCCTTGATGTTTAGTTTAAATCTTACTCTGTGGATTACTGCAGGTGCTTGGACAGACGGATGTTTAGCAGTACCGCTGTCATTATTAGTAATCACTATTTTCTGACTTTGGTCAGAGGCAGGTATTTCATCATCAAGCTCTTTCTTATTAGAAAATCTTGTAACTTCACTAGCCAAGGTTTCCCTGTTTTCTCCAAAAGGGTTGTGGTATTTAGAGTATTTCCTCTTAACATGCTCTCTGGCTGCATCAAGTCTGAATACATTACCCTAAACTGTAACAACTCTTTTTATACCTGGTCTGGCTGATTCTTAGACTCTTCACTGCTGAATCCGCCCATTATATCCAAAAGTTCAAGCTTCATTTCATGGGACTTCTTGTTCAGATTAGAGACTGATTTGGCCTGCTGGATAAAATATTTAATTCGGTTGAACTGCATCTTCTGCTGAATTGGATCTAGTCGAGGCTTGAATAGAGATACCAACGTTATCTGGTTCCAGAAGTTCTCATACACAACTATTTCTCCAGACTCAAGCAAGAACTGCTGGATGACTCTGCCTCATTTACGATCATTGAATATTTTGTAAGTGGATCATTTGAACAACGAAATAGCTTCACTAAAATTGGCTGAAGGGTGGCACAAAAATAAAGTCGGCTTGTACCATCAAGCCTCCACTACAGCAGTGCAGATTATCGCCATTAGATTTATATTATTACAATTTTACCAAAAATATATGGGGTTTTGGGGTTTTGGGGTTTTGGGGTTTTGGGGTTTTGGGGTTTTGGG